GATTATTGTCTGAGGTTGAGTAAGTTCTCAAACACATCCAAGTCTTACTCAACTGAACGCAAACGATATGAGTAAAATCATATCAACTACCATTTCTGAACCGATCAATAGGAAGAAAGCAAATAGTGGCTGGGGAGTCGTCAATACGAACAATGCTTCCCAACCATATAAAATACCATGAGAGACTTCCAAAAGAGGGAGGACGGAGAGAGAAGGAAGAGTCTGAAGAAAACTTCCTGGATGTAACATAAGGACTGTCACTCATTAACCCTTGCTGCCTAAAACAAGCCATCATCTCATCCAATAAGACTCTGAACATTTTCTTTTGAAGGATTGGTGAGATATTGATCATATATGAAGAATTAACTTTCTTTATTCCAAAATTATAGCGATTTCATTATTAGTTTGTTTTACAATTCTAATTAACCGTGTGCAGGGTGAATTCTTGTGATAATTTTTAATATTTTTCTCTATTTTATTCCTGAGATTGTATTGTGTATGGTTAAATTGGGTATAGATTTGTATGTAACTCGTTGCCATTGTAGGTATACTAGCCTGATTTGCTTGCTGTCCCTATTATACTAGTAAACCTATTATCTTCAGAAATCGTTAGGATCACAAGGGAATATTTACTTTTGAGAGACGTTTCTTTCTTTCCTATGGCCACGGAGAATAAGAAACAATCTTAAAAAGGTGTCCAGGTATTTTTATTTTTCTGATAATTTATTTCCATTTATTTCTTTGATTGGGTATTTGAATTGTAATCACCAGTAATTTATGTTTTGTACAGAAATATATGACTATACTCGTATATTAATAAATTATTTTGATTTATTAGTTTAATTGGGAGATATTTATATATTGTGGTAAGAAATCAACATAAGCTCAAAGAACTCAGGGAAGTGGTCTGGGGTGTATTATCAAGTGTCTGAACTGAATTCATACTGGTTGTTAAGTTATTTATTATTTGCCGTAATCGGCTGGAGGCATTGTCTATTAAATCTAAGTATAATTCAGACACCACCCTATTATTAATAATTCACCAAGATTTGATACCACTCAATCACAACAGAGTTGATCGGGGGAAGAGTAGTGGGGTAAATAATAACATTTGGCATCAGCTGAAAACAAACTTGTCTTTTACAATTGTACAATGCATTGACCAAATAAGTTCCACAACAAGCCATGTTGGCTGGTGTTATTTTCTATGAAAGGTGACAGCCCTACACAGGTGGAAGAAGGAAAGTGGATACCAAGCTGAATGCCACAGTACACACGGCTGCATTTGTTGGGCATCATGCCAATCCAAACATCGCATGCAACATGCATGGATCTTGCTGGCTTCCCACCAAGGCTGGCATGCATCTCGAATATCACAGAAGGGTTTGTCCTGAGCGAAAGGAAAGCACACAGAAAACATGGTACATAAAAATATATTTTTTTATTTTTATAAAATACAAAATGCCACAATTTCACACGTCTACATGAATTGTTGCAAAGCAAAAAACACCCCAATTTTGTAGGATACTTTACATACAGGGTAAATAGAAATAAATTATACTTGCATCATTTGTGTGAGAAGGCAAGAACTACAACGTAAATGGAAACTTTTAGGAAGATATCTGCTAAGGTGTTTATTTAGTTTCCCTCCATACATGAACATAGACCTAATTATTCACCAAAATTTGCACAGAGACTACCCAAAATCCTTATAAGCAACTTGCTGTGAGAAATTAAGCTGGCTGGCATTTGGATTACAGAAGCTGTATGTTTCACAGACCTCAAGTCAGATAAACTAGTAACGGTGCTCGTTTTTTGTGGTTGTCATCGGGTCACAGGCTAAAAGGGTCAGCGAACTTCTTTCAGCTACAAAATTACACAGCTACGTTCCTATTTTCTGCCAGTCTACAAAACGTTAAGACTCGTATGCACCACTTCATATTTAAAGATGTCCTGCGTGCCCTCTTCCGGCAGTTTGCTGTCAAATGTTGATGCAAATTGTTGGCCGTGTTTAAATGTCAGAAGGGTAGGAAAATGTCAACTCAAAACACATTTAAACCCAGTTAATGTCAACTGCTGTATACAGTATTTACACAGGACAAAAAGCAAACCTCAAAAAAATTAAATCCCCACCTCACGCTTTGTGCCCTTTCTGGCACATAAAACTTAGCTTTTCATTCTCCGCCATTCCAATCCTAGTCAGGCAAAATCCTAACACTTTAGGTTCTAGATGAATATATGAAATGCCCCTGCCTTCCCAAAACACAGTACTATATCATCAAAGAAATGAATGCAGCTAAAATACTAGGTGGTGTTATTAATTGGCGGTGGTGGGGATTGGATAGGTGCTTAGAGGAAGTACGGGACCAGCAGGTGCCGAACACACTCCGTGTGATTTCTTTTTGTGTGTGACTGGTTTGCTTTAAAAAACGCTTGAAGCCCTCAGTGTTAACCAAAGGAACCACTACAGACGCAACAATATATATCGATGCCACCACCTTGCCTACCCAGAAAGCATGATAATGAAATGCAGAGGGGTGAAGAAATCACTAGGACTTCAGAAGTCCACCTTGCCTACCTAGAAAGCATGGCAATGAAATGCGGAGGGGTGAAGAAAATCACTAGGACCTCAGAAGTCCACCTTTCCTACCAAGAAAGCATGACAATGAAATCTGGAGGGGTGAAGAAAATCACTAAGACCTCAGAAGCCCACCTTGCTACCCAGAAAGCATGGCAATGAAATGCGGAGGGGTGAAGAAAATCACTAGGACCTCAGAAGTCCACCTTGCCTACCTAGAAAGCATGGCAATGAAATGCGGAGGGGTGAAGAAATCACTAGGACCTCAGAAGTCCACCTTGCCTACCAAGAAAGCATGGCAATGAAATGGGGAGGAGTGAAGAAATCACTAGGACCTCAGAAGTCCACCTTGCCTACCAAGAAAGCATGGCAATGAAATGGGGAGGAGTGAAGAAATCACTAGGACCTCAGAAGTCCACCTTGCCTACCAAGAAAGCATGGCAATGAAATGGGGAGGAGTGAAGAAATCACTGGGGCCATAGAAGTCATTAGGAGGTTGAATTCTACGGGCAGGGCAAATGACACTGAGAAAAGGCAGCAGTTGAGTGAAGAGAGCGTGGCAAGGATCATCTCGCACACACAGAGGCTCCCGCAAGCTGTATGAATGGATACGTGCAGGTAAACCTATTATTTCTCTCACTTTTTTTTTTACTACAACTCTATCCTTTGTGCCTGTATTTTCCAAAGAAATTAAAATGATACTTAAAATACCAACATGCAAGCTGCCCCGTAAAGTAAATCTGTATCGTTAAGCAAAATATAAAATAAAAAAAGGGGCCATAAAGCGTGTGATTAAACCTGCTCTGAAAAAACCCCCCCTGCTAGCACTGCTGCTCAACCTCTAGTAACATTGGGACTTCCAGGGTAGGGGGAAGTACAGACATGTGCCCATCTCACAGCACAACAGTCAATGCCTTAGTGACCCATGACCGGGCCCCTACAATGTCACTTGTGTTGCTTTCAGAAGACCCTACACGGCAAATTCTGTGGCCTCTTAATAGGAGCGTTGACTGTCACTTTAAACAAGCAACTATCAGGCTTCAGTGGGTAGTGTTGAAGCTTACTGAATCCCACTTGCAGCTTATTTAAAGTGACAATTCACACTTTCATTAAGAACCGTGTTTAATATTCCCAAACTGGAGTTGAAGTATTTAAAAGGTTTCCACAAGGTGCTTCAAAGCTTGCGGAATACTTTACAAAAACTTGCAGAAAGCATTTCAGATGCTTGCTGCACACACTCACGCTCGTATACACACAGAAGCCCATGTGATAAAGGTCTTACAAGGGAATATAATTTAGGAATCAGGCACTTTGAGATGGTTGAGCAGATATCTGGAAAACAGCGGTAGATATATCTGTAAAGCAAGGGCTGCAATGGTCGCAGGGTAAACAGGCCGCAACATCCGATTAAAAAAAACAAACAAAAAAACTAAAAAGACCCACACACTACCCAAGAGTGGCATACACCACGTAAGCACAGACCCCTGTAATTAGTACGGGTCTCATAGCACTGTAAAGAACTATAGTGATGGTCACTACTGCCTACAAGACAGACCCCACAATGGTTCAAGCAATTTTATATACATGGGGAATTCTGTAGCACCTCAAACGGTTCAGCATACACCATGTTAAATTCATCTCAATGACCTGTAATTTACTACCACCAATTAGGAAACTGCGTCTAATACTCAGCGATGAGCAGCAAATGACGGCGATTCTTCAGCGCTGCAACCACAAATATCAACTATGCTCAGTATCTAGCCCCTTAACCTTATTGAACTTCAAGCCGTCAATTACAGGGGATCTGTTGTAGCCAACTCCTTTGGCAAAATCTAGAATTGAAGAATGAATGTAAGATTTCTTATACCAAAATAATTCAACGTTTATTAGCACCAAGAACTGTACCAAAGAAACATGCTTAAAATGCTTTGACAGGTTAAAACAAACATCAGAAATCTGTCTGCTGAAATGTTCTCTCAGATTAGAAGACATGGTTTTCCTTAAGGGAAAAACAAATGATATATACAGTATGTCTCCTGAAATTTGCGGTCAAGAACTAAAACGTAAAAGCCCCCCCCCCCTTATACTAAACAATAACAGTTCCTGTAGGAACATCACGTACTTTAAAAATGTAATAAGAACTCGGAAAGTTTACAAAATATAAATCACAAGATAAAATGACTGAACTGATAAGTAACAATGTGGACTGAAAAATGAGATTTTCTTTACATTGTATTTCTGATGTCAAACAGACGGGAAAAAAAAGTCATGGTGCTCTGTGACAAAGATTCCTAGAAATCCCGTTAGTCCCGAGCAAACCCCGAATCGCCTACAATTGCGGCCTAAAATGGATCTATCGCTGCTATGCATCAAAGCTTTTTGGATATTTTTGTGCATTTTTTTTTAACTCTGCAGATATGTTCTTAACTAGCCCAGGAGACCAAAGCACTATTATGGCTACTTTAAAAATGGCTTTTGAGCACTAGTTGAAGATAAGGCATCCCATCGCTTGCATATTGATTAGGAATGCACATTATGAACACTACCATGTACCTTTCTAAAATAATGCTACCTTCTCTCTCCCAGAAACCGATACATCAAAATCCCTTTAAAACATCAGAGCGTCTATATAAACCATGCAATGATCAAAGCTCCACCAGCTGCTTCTAATACTGCACACCAATCTGCTGGTTTGGCCATAAAACCCAAAGTCCAATTTCTTAAGTAACCATGATTATTGGAGATGACATTACTGTCCTGGGTGGTGGAGAGAAGTATCCGAGGAGCCCTGAGAGTGGCTGGCAGCTGATTGTTTAGTGGTATAACTGGCCTTGGAGGAGCCGGAACGGTGCCTACGGCGGGTGGTGTCATCTTGTCCTGAATAAGATGGTCTGCGCCGTCCTGACTCTTCTGCAATTGGAGGCTGTGGGCGCAAGGGAATATGCAGTCAACAGGAAGAACAAAATTCAATGGCGGTTATAAAATAGCAGTACCCCATGCAGCTTGAATGGACATCCTCAATCAGTGGGGTTGGAACAGAGGTCACAACTGTGACGGAGGCCCAGCGCCTGAGTACACATAGTGCCTTTCTTTATCACTCAAATGTCGGTGGTGGTAAAGTGTTAAGATTACCACTATTTGTGGTCAAATGAAAAGGTCACACGTAGGGGTGTATTTTTTAATTTTCAGAAACTGAAACTTCCTGTGAAACTGCATGTACATTCGTTCTATATGAATGGAGGCAACAATGAACATTACAAGTACACTAAACTCCCAGTTATCCAGCACCCCTGGGGATGTCAGATAATGGATTCACCTTCCGAGCTTCCGCACCCGACAGGTGAATGTAAGTAGCTGGGAGTGAGAGCCAGACTGCTATTGGCTATTTCAAATTGCAATAGCAGGCTGGCTATTGAAACCCCGTCCACTGAGTAGAGGAGCGGACCCGAGAGAGAAAGTTATCGCTCAGGAACGCCCCTCTGCTCAGTGGACAGGTACAAAAGCCAGCCTGCTATTGGCTATTGCAATTTAAAATAGCCAACAGCAGGCTGGCTACTGCTCCCGGTTGTTTCCATTCTGCTGCCGACCGCAGAATCTAGCCATTTAGTTAGCAACTAAATAATTTCTTTGCTAACAAATTTTTATAATTTGCACCAAGAAACCGACAATTTTTCAGTGGGCATCAAGCCGCTGGCACAAAAAAAAAAAAGAAGATATATGTCCTTGATTTTTTTCGGTCGGTTGCTTGTGTGCAATTAAAGGAAGTATTTGCTTGCTTTCTTAAAGTGACAAGCCCCCACCATGAGGATGAAGGACCATAAAGAACACTGTAAAACTAAAACTTTACAAAAGAAAAGGACAAAAAAATGTAAACAAAACAAATGAGATTATGGCATAAAAATTGTTTTACTACATCACTATGTGCTTTAGGCTTGCTCACAAATACTTTAATGACTTACATCAACTCTGAAGTCTTCCAGTCTCTTGAACTTGCTCAGATGGTTCTTCAGAGTGGGATCTACAGACAGGCTTTTGGATTGGGAATATTTAAGAAAGGCCCAGAATTTCTCCAGTCCGTACAGCTGACCTGAAGATGACAAAAATCAAGGTTTAGAACCTGACAGGACTAGACTGAACGGTTTACCAGCTTACAACTAGAGTTTATTACCGGTTTCATAATCTTTCAGAGTTTCTTCTTGAAAATCCTTAAATAGGTCTGGCCTAAACTTCCTTTCCAGCCCATAGCTGTAGAACCTAAACAAGCACTCCAGGCCATACCTGCATGATAAAAAATAAAGGGTAAAGAAATAATAGCTGGAAGGTATGCATTAGGCTGGGGTACTTATTCTATGCATCTTGACTAAAATATTGATTTTGTGAATTTGTAGTATTTGCTGCCACTATAGTCCGAGGATTGGCTTTAGGGCCATTTATGGCTACGTGGATGTGGTACCAGTCTGGCCAAAATGAATTGTTAACAGACCATCTTTTACCAACAAAGATGATTACATTATACATTTAATTTACTTGCCACATACCGCTTGTACTCCATACACTATGTTAGTATCACTGACTAATCACAAAGGACTTGGTCTCTCACACACACTGCACTGCGCTGTAGTCTCTCAACTATGCAAAGAACTCAATCCGTTTTTTTCCCCCATTTTTAAATATAGGTCAAGCAGTGCAGCGGTGGGTAAGGCACATGCTTTCCCTGGCACGGGCCTCTGTAGGGAGAATGTAGCATGAAAGCAGGCTGGGTGCAATCTGCACGTCCCTATCAATTCACTCTAACTGCCAACACACTATCAGGCTCATCAATCTGCTGCTGTCAGAGCCCCATTGTTGACTTGTGTGTGAGAATCTAAAAAATGTGCATTACCCTGTGTTACTTACAGTATGTGCTGTACAAGTAATGTACAGGATCAGCCAGGGAACTGTCTTTCTATACTGGATCTACTCATTTTATCTTCACAGTATCTTACAGCAGCACTATATAACTGCAGTCCACGTCACAGGAAAACAAACAAGATTCAGGTGAAAACACCTTAATAAAAAGTGTCTAGAACAAACTTTCTATCTGCTTTGTTTCAATTGGAGTGCAGCCAATCAGCTTGTACATTCTAATTTTTAAGCTGCATGAAAAAAATAATAAAAAAGGCATAAAAGCTGATTGGCTACTGTGGGTGACAGCGCAGGTTGAGATCAAACTTGTCTCAGACATATTTTTATTAAATTCCCTAGAAGGAAGATTTGGCTGATAGTGTTTCATTTCTCAGAGGAATACAAGTCAAATGATTCATTTCAGTTACCTGTAGTTTTCTTTGGCATCGTCGATGGAGATCTGCCTAAACTCCTCATACATTTTCTTGTTAAAGTGATCTCTGAGGAAAAAGGACCAGAAGCGGAACAGTGTGTTCATCTCTGGGGACTGACCGACTCCCAATCTTTTTCGCTCTAAAAAAGAACAAAAATGTTATACAAACACAAAGTGACACATTTATTCATTCCGTCACAAAGCGAGGTGGTGCTAAACAGAAGGAGACAGGTTTACTATGAAGAAGTCAGTCAGAAATTCCTCTGACAGGAAAAAAAAAAAACGTAGCTCGGACCACTTAACTGTGCGTCTATTTGCCGTGAAATCTTGACTGCTAAATGTATCACAGACCTGTGCCAATCTGTCTCAGTTGGCTGCCCAGGATTCTAGGCGCATGGATCACAAAAACACGTTGCATATACTTTGCTAAATGAAGAGGGGGCTCTACCAATGACACTTCACTCGGTGTACATTTTACAGAGCAAATGTTATAAGTTTCTAGCACATTAAAACTTAAAATGTGCAATAAATGTTCTCACTGTATGTTTTCAGGTCTGTTACGTTTACAGTATTACATTGTAGAAAGCCTTACATTTTATTTAAGGGCAATAACTCTCCTGACCACTAGAGGGGGTAAAAGCACTGCAAATGCAGCTTCCAATACGGCAATGCATGGTAGCACACACAAGACGCACTAAAATATAGAATTCGGAAATACCACAATACACCTGTGAAGTCCCGAAAAATTCCTACGGTACATAAAATAGAGAGGGCACTCATTTAATAACTCATTTAGCTTTAGTAGTGCAAGCTATGTGATAAGTAAAATACTCTCATAATGCTTCTCATGCTTCCTACATATGGTTAGCACAAATAACTTCCACTATTAAGTTCCTCAGCTATTTCCAGGCACATAATAAGGGGGGTCACACTTGTGCTATAGAAACACAAGGGACCTACTGTTTTTAAAGTGTCACTAAATAATCTCAATCCTGCACAAGGTTTTAAACCAGAGGCTTTCATGAAGTGCAAGCAGTGCACATATACACTGCAGTCATGTGCACTGCTCTATGCTAACTACACATCCCATCATTCACATTAGAGATCCAAGTGCACATGCATCCCTAATATCAATCATTCATGTTGGTTCATTCACGCTGAAGCCTGTTGGCATTGTGGGCAGGCATTTTATCAATGGGCTGGTGTATTTATCCCACATACAGCAGGGCTTTGTATAGTGGCTCAAAAGGAAGCTGGCTCAGAGTAGAATAAAAATGTATTGTTGGTGATTTGCTTTGCAATGTTGCCATTAAAATGGAAACAGAAGACTACAAAACAGGGTGTAAGGGTTTTTTGGTTTTTTTATTATATGGGTTTAGGGATACTTAACGGTCACCTAAATAAACCAGTGATCGTCAGCATCCCTAGGGGAAGGAAGTCTACGCTGAAAGACACATGGAGCAGACCTGTGAAAACTGGAGTATAAAACTGAACTGAAAATATTGATTCAAACAAAGCTATTAAAATGAGCACTTACCATTTAAGCACCGTCGCCGATATTTGTGGTACACTTGCTGTGTAAATCCATTTTCCTTTAAGAGCTCATGAGAAGGGTGTTGAAACTTGGGTAGAGAATGAGGAGTGCACCCATAGCTTCCTACAAGTGGGGTGCCTTCTGAAGGAGAAGCATTAGAACTGCTGCAAACAAGAAGCCATACAAAGTAAGTCCCTGGTATGCAATACAAGTTCTCATATGTACACATCTGCACTGTACTGCAAGTGTTTATACAGTAACAGATGGAAGGAAACCTGCAATGGGAAAAATATAAAAGGCTGCCATTGACAACCACCTCCTATAAATGCCCGTCTGTCTTTGGCTTCCTTACTTTCCTAGTTGCTGAACTTAGCCCTCGTTTACACTAGAAACGGCTGGCACGTCAGCTCTGTGCATGGCCATATCGGGCAGCTCCCGGGGAGGACAGGTGCTGAGTGTGATTAGTACGCAGCCCCTGTCTTTCTCTATGGGACTACGCGGCCATATGCCCCCCTACACTCTCCTCAAGTGCAGGTGCGCGTTTCCTGGCTCGATCCATCCTGTCAGCATACGAGCACGCCCACCCACACGGACGTGCAGGGCGGGTGAGCGTAGGGCGGCGTACAGCCACGTAGACCCATAGAGAAGGACACGGGTTGCGTACTAAATCACACGCAGCACCTGTTCTTCCCGGGAGCTGCCCGATACGGCCGTGCACGCAGCACGGAGCTGTATGTGCCGGCTGATTCCTGTGTGAATGAGCCCTAAAACAAGCAGGCATCAAGTAAAAGCTAAAAAGTAAAAACTCTCGATCTCCATAATTCACATTTGTTGCAAAAATATATGTATAAAAAGACTTATTCTGAACTGTAAGTCAGTAAAGGGGGTCTTAATGCACACATGGTCAAGTACGGAGATGTGGATGCAAGTTCTTCAGATCTCAGGGTACAAACGCAGCAATACGGGATCCCCATTTACCTCGTCTACTAACTGAGATCTTCTGCATAGGGCCAAGCAGTGCTTGGTAAGGTATGACTCCATTTACGTGTCCAACAAAATGACCTAGTCTTGTTGACCACAGAAATATGTATTTTATTCGGGATAATGCAATATGGGTAAATGAGTAAGAGACTGTTTATGGTTTTGGGCTGCAAAACACAGATAAATAAGGCCAATGGCTTGGAAAAAAAAAACATTGCTTGTGGACAAAAGGTTAGACATTCTCATAACATTTTACCTTACTGATGAAGTCCGCGATCTGTGCTCCCTGACATCCATTACCCACCCAACATGACTTTCCACAGGTGGATTTGAACTGTGTCGGGTTTTTTTCTTTCTTGGCGTCTACAACACAGCAGGAGAGAGCTCATTATTTCAAGTGCTATTCCACCTTTATGACAAACTTGGTAATACATTGCATTCTGATGACAGTGTGATGTTTATACATGCAATGATAGTTTCCAGTATATGAAGTCCTTTTTCTCACATACTTTTATTTATATTTTTTTAGTACATTTATATGCATACTATGTCATCCAGTCAAATCGACAGTGACAGGAGGTGGTACAAACTTTAACAATGCAGGGGGAAGATTTAAAATATATTAATAAAAAGCATCTCTTATAAGAACCCAGCATACAGTTTTCAGAATACAAGATTTTTCACTGTGTTCTTACTTTAGAGTGATCTCAGAAGGACAGGGTTATTTGTATTCCAATAATGGCAACAGTTCTTGCTTTGCATTCAAACATCTCAGAATCATTATCATCCCCTGCTTTTGTACTTGGTCTAAGTGCTGCTCCCAGAAGTCTGCATGGGGGCTGGAGTCAAAATACAGGCAGCCAGTGGCATGGAATATGGCAGCCCATACATTTCATCTTTGGTGACATACTTGCACAGGGTGGTGTTTAGCTCAATAGAAGCTGGATGTTTCATAATACAGCACAGGGGTTGTTCATGGGCTTTAAAGTTAAGTCAAATTCTCCATTTTCAGAGCAATGGAGTCTTAAATTAGTTATCCTAGTTTTTTCTGCACGCTCCCCACTGCAGCTCCTAATTTCTGGTTATTAAGTAGGAGCAGTGCATGCATATCGCAGTCACCTATACCTCTCTACTCAAACTACACAGTCAGAACCTCCCACTTAGACATGTGTAATCTAATAATTATTTTGAACATTACCTGGTTATCAATAGATTTGGCTTCCTTTACCACCGCGTAAAAGCGTGGCATCTTGGTGGGATCCTGCAGGCGTGGAGTACGGGGAGTTTTGGGAGTTCTAGCAGGTACGGATACCGGCGATTCTGGAATACCTGTGGGTAGAGAAGGACAATCAAGATTCGGTTTTGAGGTTTACAGAACAAATCCAATCAGCTTAAAGTTCTATCATATGTTACCTTGAGGAAAAGTGGGAATATTAGGTGGGGACTGTTCGGTATCTGATTGAACTGGCAGTTCTGGTGCAAGACTGTCAAACTCTTCTTTACTGATGAGATTCAATTTCCGGAAGTTTTCTATTTCTTGCTGAATTTCAGGGTGCAGAAAAAAAAAAAACTACAGTAAGTATATAAACCATGTCAACAACCCTTCGAGACTAAACTACTTCTAGCACTTTTGTCAAACCAATAATGCAATGGCTGCAAATAGGGCTGATTTAGTAGATGCAGATCTACAGTTGAACTTTGTGTAGTCTTTTTTGGATTGTCCCTCAGTCATCATGTGATGTAGATCAAACATATTTTGGGGTAATCAGACAAAAATGAAGCGTCTGTTTTTAACTGAGCATTTTTGTTAAAGAAGCAGAAAGAAGAGTCTACACAGTAGGGATGCACAGATACTTGGCATTTTCATGAGAACTACCAGGGTTGCAGCGGTTGCAGCTGGGGCCTAGCTCTGGCACTCCACCACTGTCCTGAAATCATTAGTCTGTATTGTTTTAGAAAAACTGTCACATGACAACAAAAATTTATCAGTACTTGTAAGTACTCGGCAAGTACCAGTACTCGCAAGACTGGTATCTGTGCATCCCTTTATTTAGATTTATAAAAACAAAATTATATACATTAAAACAGAGATGTAGAAATCCCAGGAGCGCCGTGTGCTCCTTATAAATGACAGCAGCCTCCTAATTTGTGAATTTTTCTATAGTGTAGTGTAGTCTTGGAGCTCAAAAGTATCGGTACATGTACTCGTACCGAGTACTGTACTTGGTATCTGTGCAACCCTACTACACAGTATATTACTCAACTCTGACAAAACAAAAATACTAGCTGGAAGATAGAACAAGTGGGATACAGGCTGAAGGAATTCATGGAAATTTTGGTAAGGATGTGCCTGATGATTAGACCCAGAAGTGCTTAGCACCATTCCTTACAGTGAATCCACATAAAAGGAACACAAGGCCAGTGACGAGTACACAGATTACTTCCCTCATTGCCATTTACGTTTTATTTTTGCTTCATGTATCCAATATGCACTTGTAAAAATGTGATGTCTATAATCAAATTTGCATGCAAAAATTACATGAAACCCGTGTAAAGAATGCAGTGTTTGATTTTACTGGAGGGAAATGTGTGGCTTTGTAAGGTTATGGTTTTGAAATGCTCCTAACAAACCAAGTAAAAAATACCTTCAAGGTTAAAGGTTATAAATCACAGCTAATAAAGCAAATGAAAAATACCTTCAATGCTAGGTGATCTATATTACTTTCTGCTGTCCATAGGTCCTGCTCATAATAGTACAGCCCATCATTAATGGCTTTGGCTAGGTCGGATGTAATTTTAGCTCGTGAGGTGTGATTTCCTGTACGGTCTCCACTTGGATGTTTCTTAAGGTAAGGTGGGGTCTGGGTAACGATAAGGATTTTATTCAAGTCTTGATCATCAATCTCGTAATCGGAGTCTTCATCAGACCAGTCTGTGAAGTTGTTTTTGCGTCCCTCTAGGTGTTCTATCTCCTCATCAAACATAAAGTCCAGCTCTTCTTGCTCTACTTCTACAGTGGCTTGTTGTTTTGGAGGGACTGGACAGCTCTCTACTTCCTGTGAAAGCAGACACATTTCAATGCAGAAAATCATATTGCAGTTCAGCTCCAAGTAAATACCCAGCAAACTGGAAATAACCATACAAATGATCTGTATACCTTTGGCTTTGTGGGAGAGACTTTGTGTCTTCTCTTTACTTCAATCCATGGTTCAAAATCCAGATCTGGTAGACTTGCAGATAAACCTTTTGCCATTGTCTGCAGGTTGCTGTGCTCTGAACTTCTTTCTGGAAAGAGAGGACTTCCTTTCCTAGGAGAATTAGGAGCAGATCCTAAAGGAAGAGAGAGGGGAAGGGTCTTATTTAAATGCAGAATACAAGAGGATGACTGGAGAAAGTGTCACATTCTCACACATAAAATTACCCACCGCTCCTTACATGCAGGAAAAGAATGATAAACTTGTTTCTTCATGGCACCGAACTCTTCAGGAACTCACCCGCATCTACCCTGCCTTGACTGACCACTACTAGAGATGCCTAACTGCGGTTGCTTGCCATCTCCATGTGTGATGGGACCGCCCCAATATCACAACAATCTGGTCAAAAGTTTTTACTTGCTACCCGATATGTGCATCTTTGATATCCAGCCCTCCTATTGTCGTTTCTGGGTCCTCTCTCCAAATCTAATAAAGGGATTCTGTGCCACTGCCTACTGACCATCAGTTTTTATTTAATGTGTAAATGTTGGAGGCAAAGACTGCATCCAAGGTTTGGTCTCTACTTTCTGCAGGTGCATAAAGAGTATTATATAGGAAGGTTCTGAAATACTGATCTAGAGGTAAGATGATTACCAATTCCAAGTAAATCTTGGTATCTAATTCCGCTGAGGAGCGCATTTTATAATGCAGAAATTCTATGATTTGTTGCCAGTAGCCCTGAATTTTCAAGCATGCACATTGCAGGTGAAAAAAAAAAAAAAAAAAGGAGTACCAAGGATCTGTTGACATTCAGGATAGAATGGGTTGGATGTAAAATGTAGGCAGGTGGCCAGGGGTAAAGTAAGCCCTATGAATGATATATAATTAAGGGAGATTGTCAGAGCTTTTAAGTGAGATATCTGCGAGCAGAGCAAGCTTTCTTCCATACATCCTCCTGGAGTGAGCTCACATCAACTTTCTGTGATATTTTACTGTGACATGCTGCCACCCGTGATAGCAGGGTGAGCAAGTGTTGATATATCCTGGATATTAGTTCGGTTGGTATTGGGGAGTCATAAGAATATCAGAAAGCAGGGTTGCCTGGTAATCCACCCTGGAAGTTAGAGTTGTTTATGGGCTGCATGTCAGATTTAAAAGTATTGAAATAGCATATCGTTGGGAATCAGTTGTTCAAAGATTTTTTTACTTTCTCAACTTCCATAATATGACCTAGATGGATAATTGGGGTGGGGGATTGAGTGGAATTCTGGCGTTTCTCCAAAAGGGAGTTTGTTTATTCAGGTTGGGAATACAGTCTTACTAGCAAAGAATCCCAGATTTTCACAGACTGAATATTTGACCTAAGGAAGGTTTAGGGCTGGTGCCTTTAATACCATTCGATATAAAAGGTATAGAGACTCAGAGGACTCAGTAGGATCAGGCAATTAGAGCAAGCGTAACAACGTTTTTTTTCTTCAAGATATTTGACATTGTGTGCATCTTTATGTAATGCTTACACTAGTAAATATGAACATGTACAAATGACTGCAGAAAGTGGGGGTAAGAAGAGTACCTGTGTGGTATGTCTGCTGCTTTCCAGGTACAAACTCAGGACAGTCGATGAGCCGGGTGAAGTCGGTTCGTTTCACTTCTTGAGTTGGAGTAGATGGAATAGGCCATTTTTCTGGATCCACCTTTTTCCTTATTTTCTGGTCCACCAGTTCTACCTCTGCACTGTCCTTCAAAGACTAAAAATATAGGTAGATGAGACACAAATATATGTAGGAGCTTTGGCCATTAAGCTCTGCAAACATGTCATATTGCACACGCAACAGACTCATTGACCCTCCATGGATATAAAAGATTTTAATTAGAGTTTGAGATATTACATAGTTACATAGTTGTTAAGGTCGAAGACACAGGTCCATCCAGTTCAATGTACGTGCGTGTATACACACACACACACACACACACACACACACAACTAACAACTTCCATATCCCCATATAGTCTGTAATATTAAAAAGGAGAACTATGGGGGTCAGGGCTTTTCCCCATAGTTCTCCTAAGGGTAACGGGAGGACACAAACTAGCGTCCTCCCGTCACCCTAAGCTCAGTATACCGCGAGCTACAGCTCGCGGTATACTGAGACGCCGCAGCCGGAACGGATCCCGACAATTCTGTCTGGATCCGCCCAGCTGCGTGAGTGACAGCTGGCTCTGCCTATCTAGAGGCAGAGCCAGCTGTACCCGCCCCCTCCCCTGTCCGTTCAGTCAGCGCTGGGAGGATCGGAGCAGGGAGGAAGGGAATCCCTGCAGGGAGCCGCGACTGACAGTCACGGCTCTCTGCAGGGATAGATCGAAAAGTGAGCGAGTGAAGGTATGTTTTTGCTCACTTCCCAATCTATTGAGCCGACGTGCGACAGTTTCATTGACACAGGTCGGCTCAGATTATGAGGCTAAGTGAAAATCACTCGCCTCATAATTCTCCTTTAAATTGATATCTCATCTGATATTCTCCTGTCTGTGCTTTTTGAAGTTATCAATTATTTTAGTTGGAAATACTGTGAAAGGGAATCCCACAATTTTCCTGCTCCGACAGTAAAAAAAAAAAAAAAAAACACCTCAGCTTCTTGTAGTAGCCTCAGGTCATCTTCAGAGTTCTTAGTTTATTTATTTTGTTGCCCTTCTCTGAACTTTCTCTAGTTCAAGGACATCCTTCCCGAGGACTGGTGACCAAAACTGAACTAACATACCCAAGATGAGATATCCAGAAAGGAAAGAGCTTCTGCTGTGATCTCTGTCTGCCAAACCCATTGGCAAAGACGCTAATATATACATTAGAGGTGCACTAAAATGAAAATTTCAAAACCGAAACAAAACCAAAATGTAAAAAAAATGTCAGGCCAAAACCGAAAATGTTTTTTAGTTTAACTTTTTTTTTAAATAATATTTTATTATTTATAAAAACTTTTTAATTTTTATTACATATTTTTAGTTTTTACTTTATATTTAGGGGCTTTGGGGAAATATTTCCCGTTTAAAAAAGAAAGAGAGATTTGAGGACACAGAGTCCTCAATCTCTTATTCTTCATCCCCTGTTATCAATAAACAGGAATCCTCCATACTGAGTGTTCCTGTTCATTCATAACATGAGGACAGACTATGTTTACTATAACCACAATCATGAATGAACAGAAGGTGATGTAGACCACTTCCCATTCATTCATAATGGAGGATATAGTTAACATACTACGTCCACAATTATTTACAAAACAGTCAGCGATCACTGACCAGTGAGTGTTTGCACTTGTCTCCTTCCTGACGCGCTGTCACAAGAGGCTGAACAGTGAGGGAGGAGAGACGCCGACCGCTCACAGCGCTCTCCTCCCACAGCGCACGGCCACCTGTCACAGTTTCTCTCCTCCCCCCTGGGACACAGAGCAGCGCCCAGCGGGGAGGAGAGAACACACTGCTGTATCGGCCAGAAAAATGGCACTTTCGGCATTATGGCAAAAGTGCCATTTTCTGCCAATATATCGGTGCATCCCTAACATTTATATTAATGTATAATTATATATATTTTTTTATAAAAGATACGATTTAAATAGTACATATTTTTATTTTAAATACAAGGTATACATTAAAATAAACATAATTGTTGATTAATTTTGACGACTATAACGACATCACAGAGCCCCAGCTGCAATTTTACTTACACTTTATGGCATTAGCTATGGGAGATTTACACAACTAAGAATTCCACTGCTAATATCATTGAAGCAGATACTATGAAGCTTTTTTTCCCCATGAGTGCAGAATTCATCCAGTTTGGACACGGCAGGCATTACCTCACAAATCAGACTGATATCGGTGGTCAGAGATTGCACCCGGCGAAAGTCTGCTATCAAGGAGAGAGGCAAAAAACCGTGTGCATCCATTTTTCTTCTTAGATAAAAATCCCTTTCCAAATTTTCAAAACTAAAATAATATTCACTGCAAGAGACCGGTGAGAAGAATACGGGCATTAGTATTATGCATGCGTTTTACAAATCACTGAAATTAGGCTATAACGCATCAATAGCCCACAAAAACACACTTACATCTGACGTTTCAGGTATTCCTTCAGCAGCTTTTCTTCCAAGGGATAGATCTGCACGCCAGTTCCATAATCATAGAAATACATCATACTTGTGCGGTTATTAGCCAACTCCGACTGGAAGGGCCCATTTGCCTTACGGACACCATGCTGAACTGTTAGAGAATAAATCAACATGAAGATTGTTCACAAGTCTCTGCAATTCTCCTTGTTCATATCTACTCTAATAAAAGGGAAATTTCAGCTTGATGTCAAACAATCCACACAGGGTAAAATTACTATATTGGAATACATACGTTCTTAACTAAATAAATATTAAGATAAAATATAACATCAGTAAACCATTTGAATTGTCGTTTGCAGTCAGTCAATCTGAACCACTCAACTGAACAGTTTAGTGTACGATTGGCGTCCACTGAATGGCAGGAGGTGTGTACTGGCATGGTTACCAGGCAAGGCACGGTTTACATTTTTGTTTAGAGCTTTATTAGCAGTGAACAAAGTGTTCACTTGCTTCAGGTCGCCGCTCCGCAGTGCTGTGGTAAGCTGCGGTGACCTTTGCTGCCACCCACTGCGCTGCAGAAACTAGCAGCATATCCGCATTTTTCTGCACTGCACATTACACCAGCATTGCAGCATGAATAGGACACATAGAAACCAATTGTTTTCGGTGCGCCCTTGCAGTGATAGGAGTTGATCCAGTGCAGAAAAATGCCAGTCACTGCAGTTGGTGCGAATGAGCCCTAAGAGCAATGTATACCATAAGCTTTTGACAAGCTTCAAACCGCTTTGTTGAAGTCTTGAAAGCACCATGCAGTTCCAGTTTGGTAAGGTCAAGCCCAGATACTAATTGCTAGTGCTGACTGTTACTTTAAAAAAAAAAAAAAAGGCTGCTGGCAGGATTCAGCGCTGGTTGAAAGCCTGCTAGCAGCATGGTTACAGTGACAGTTAGCACTCCTATTAACATCCCTATACTGGAAGTGAAGTCTTCTTTAAAAAGGGAATTTTAAAAACAGTACCCTTGCAGTGGGGCTTCCCCCAGCACTAGAAAGGGTTAAGTGCTTGTTTTTGTCTAGGGGGCTCGAATAAAGCAGATATACTCAATTGATCCTTGGTCTGTTGAACTGCTAGACCAGTTCCCACAGCCTCTTCTTCCCTGAGGACCATTAACGTCATCACGTCTAATGCAGGAAATTCCACAGCTGGGGAAGTGGGGGAGAGAAGTCAATATCGACTGCAGCAGGATCAGGCGAGTATATTTGCTTTATTTTTCTCCCTAGACAAAACAAGCACTTAACCCTTGCTGTGCGGGGTAGCCCCACTGCAAGGGTACATTTTTTAAATGCTTGGAGTTCTTCTCTAAAGGCCTCAATAAAGCTGTTTGAAGCTTGCCGAAAGCTTTACAAAAGCTCGCTATACACACTGCACTTCTATCAAATGGAAGCTCATGTGAACAAGCCTATACAGGCTCATTTACCAGACCTTTGTCCAGCTACAAGGATAGTTATTTAGATCAGCCCATTTACAGACTTTAAACATGCAACTGCAATTTTTAGTTTTACTCCCACGAGGAATGCACAAAGATTTTGCAAACATGAGGCATAGCATGGATTGGGGAGTACCAGTGTGCATTTAATGCAATGCAGCAGTCTATGTCAGCAAATTTGCAGGTTGATAGAAACTTATACTGATAATATACCATGTAAATATAACTTACTACCGTATGCTGTGGGACATTACCATTCAAAATTGGCCTACACCATTCAGAACCGGAAATGCTGGTTCTGAAAAGACAGTTGAAATCCACAGAAGGAGAACATTTGAAATAGAAGAATAGTGGGATTCTTCAGACCTTACCTTTCAAAGACAAATATGTTTAAGACAGCGATAGTAATGCCATTGTATTGCTAGGACTAAACCAAGCATCCTACTTGATTTCCTTTCCCGATTCATTTATGACAAACCATTTACACTTGCTCTTTTAACTTTATGTTAGTAGTTGCTATATAATTTTGTACACTTGTTGATATCGTGTAGCCGGCGGAAACACAAAAAAACTGACTTGGGATGGAAGGAGGAGTCTATATCTCGATGGCTGTCCTGGAAGATGATTGGGGAAAATGAGGATCTAACAGTCCAGATTCTGAGGTTCATGAAGCCTTTTCCAGACAAAATCATTTGTGAATGGGATATCCAATTTAAAGTGACAATAAAAGCATAATTTTTTTTTGCCCTCCCCCCAATGTTAATGTAAGCACTTACCTTAAATGATGTATCTTAATCCAATCTTCCTCTTCTTTCCTGTCCTTTTCATCTGTCCCTCCAGCGGTGCGGCGGCTCTCCGATCCAGCGCCGACTCCTCTGTCCTTGCTGGCACTTCCTGTCCCACGGTGTCTGCATGCCGGTGCACGCGTCCATAGACTTACCTTGTGTCTCTCCTCGTCTCCCGGCCGGGAATTCGAACTGCGCATGTGCCCGCCCCAAGATGCTTTGCTGCCGCCCGAGCAGTTTCTGATTCTCGGGGGGGGAGCGTGCAGCGAAAACAAGGTAAGTTTAAACCGCTGTTACAGCGGGTTTTTTTTTAAAAAGCTTGCTAGCAGTAGATATAGGCAAAAAAAAAAAACAGAGGGTTTAGAACCCCTTTAAAAAGGGGAGGCATAGCGATTTTTTTTTTTTTTTTAAATTTAGAATAACATTTTTAGTCAGAGAAATATTGCCTATTAATGCTGCATACTGCTTTTGAGTCAGCAGATAGAGCTTTAGGCTTCTTTTCACATTTCCAGGCTCTATCGGTGTTGTAATGCCTATTTATACTTAAAGTTCCCACTTTCCATTTAAAAAAAAACAAACACCACAACTAAAATAAAATGATTCCAATTATCATATAGTTGCTCTGTTTAGATGGATATAGTTAAAGGATTTAAGGACAGGAGGAGGAATAAATCCATGCAAATTATATATTCAGAAGTTGTCTAAAGTATTTCAACTTTAAAAAGCGCAGGGAATAAAAACAAATTGTGTTTCATGCACAGTGTTCATTACTTACAATAAGAGTGCCCTCTTCCTCTGCCTCTTCCCCGGCTTCCTCTTCCTCGTCCTCTCGAGTTTTCCCGGATACCGCTATAGTCACTTCTTGTGCTCGAGACCTCATCTAGATCACTCTTTCTATCGCGCTGCCATCCTATTAAAAGAAAACCACGCATGTAATCTCCCATTTATAAGGTATGCGAGCAAACAACCTCATTCTTCATGTTTGATATATGATATGATATGATATATGATATATGATATATGAATGAAATGTTGTCGATGTTATTAATATCTGACTTGGTCAGCCGTACCCGGATGTACAGTATGTTAAACTCTGGTGAGAGATGTCATTCTTCAGCTCCCTGACTGCACTCTAGTTCCAGGTTAATGGCTGTTATAAGAAACAAAATGTCTCCAATTTGTATACTCCAGTTTCTTTCATATCAAATTCCTTTGTACCTTGGTAGACTCTCTTATTATATTTAGGGATGCACCGATACTTTGAGTACCAGTGCAGATACTTGGCATTTTCATGCGAACTACCAAGTTTGCAGCTATGACCTGGCTGTGGTGCTCCACCACTGTCCTGCGATCATTAGTCTGAATTGTTTTAGAAAAACAGTCACATGACAAACAGAAATTTATCCGTACTTGTAAAAAAATGATATCTGTGCATCCCTTATATATTTAAAAAAAAAATTCATACATTAAAATAGAGATGTACAAATCCCAGGAGCTCCGTGTGCTCCTTACAAATGACAGCGGCCTCCTAACTTTTGAATTTTTCTCTGGTCTAGTCTTGGAGCTGGAAAAGTATCTGTACTTGTACTGAGTACGGTACTTGGTATCGGTGCATCCCTATTATATTCTAAAACTTTACTGGGATAAAAGTTTTAATGTAGTTGTATATTTGAATAGATCTATTTTACTTAAAGCCTAATTTCAGCCAAATCTTTTTTTCATGTTTTGGAGTGGGGGAAAATGTAGAACATCTGTTGGACTTTAAATACTTTCTGTGCCACCCTTGATGAGATCTCAGACACCCGTCACCTAGACAGGAGGGTAAATCGCCCACCTAGGGAACCAGACAATATTTTTCATTACTCTACTACAAATGTGTTTTTTATTAAAGCCTGTGTTCCAACTGAAGGGATTTCCCCTTTACCATCAATAACAATAGGGGCATCAATAACAATAGGCAGTTGAGAGATATTAACCCTTCCCCAGGCTATCCAAACAACAAAAATGTTTTGGCTGAAGTTGAGCTTTTTCAGTGTTTAAAATTAATAAGATAAAAAAAAAAATACACCACACATCAAATATAATTTCTAGATGTGCGCCCCAATATATACTATACATGTGCAACTGAAAAAGTGATTGTTGCCCTTGACCGCTCCATTGCTGATGTAGTGGCCAGAGGATGGAACCGCAGAGCACAGTGCGCAACCAGATATCTGCCACACTTAAAGTGTGGTGGAGCCAGAATTCTTCAGTGGTTGTAGCTCTTCCACAGAGTGAAGTTAGTAGTCGCCAACCACTGGAGCAGATAAGTATTATTATGGGGAGCTTTTGTGTTTAAAATTATGGCAACAGAGAAACATTCAATTGTAATTTCATTCTTCAAGTGTGCTTTATTTTGCAGTATACTCTGCCCACTTTTAGATATGCAGACCTCAAGCGATGGACATATTGCTGGGCCACTGTAATCATCTGATCACCTGAAGCAGCAATATTTACCCAATCATCCTACCTACCTTGTACCACAATATTTCCAGCACTTCTAAGTCCTAGTGAAAGGAAATAATGACAATATGCTTATAAATCATGTACAAGTAGGCACTTACCATGCATGTGGTGCCCTCGTCTGACGTTTTTAATAGTATTTGTTTCAGATGAAGTATCTGTCTGAGAGACAGTTTCGGGTGTATTGGGCTTCTTATCCTCCAAGTGTAAAGGGACCCATTTTTGTTTAACAACTACAAAAAACAGACAAGTCAGCTTTACTAAACATCTCCTTTATCCCAGGTGGATATACTTCTGAGATGAAACCGTTTAATATGACAGATGCCATCTTTAGTTTAACCTGGCAATAATAACACTATCTAAATATGGTACATTGGCTTTTTCCTTATTTAATGGAAGCAAGTATCTTTAAAGCAACCCCGTCATGAATTGTAAAGAATAAGTGCACTTTAGGACAAAGCGCATTTATTCTTTGTGGCCCCTTCCCCTCACCTGAATAATCCTGCCCTCGCCCTCTGCAGATCTATACTTTCCAAGATTTGTGGGGAGCTGCTCTGCTATTTGTGGACATCCAGCTCCTTAAGTCTCCTTCTCATGTCCATCTCCTGGCTGGCAGACGGGACCCATTAAAGTCTATGGGGCCGTAATGTGCAAGTGTGGCCAGCAGAGAGAGCATTGAGACGTTGGATGCAAACAAACAATAGTGGAACCATGCCCATCACAATTTGGTTAACTAAGAATTAGGTTAGGGGTGATGTTGGGGGGGCTAAAAGGATAAGAGCACTTTGTTTTAAAGTGCACTTATCCTTTAAAACTGCAAAACAAACATAGTGCAAAAGAACACTCTAAACAATTACCTTTCCCTCTGCCCACACCATGAACACTGCTCTGTTCAAGAGAAATGGTCCGACAAAGTCTGGTGGGAAATTAACCCTTACAAGTGTACTGATCTCCAGTATCCCCTGTAGTGCTCAGTGCTTCCTACTGCCGAACTTTATATAACTACAGGATACAAAAGTGACTTGGAGGTCAGAAGGAGACACCAATAAGCACCGGGAGGATTCTGGAGAGTGTTGGTTTCCCAATAGACTTTGGAGAACCATTTCTCTTGAACAGTGCAATGTTTGGCAGTGCAGGAAAGGTAAGTATTTACAGTCTTTTCTTTGCAGGGAATTGGTTTTGCCAGGTTAAAAAAAAAAGTTATGACTGTGCTATTTCAAAGAGTAAAAAACACTAATAGGGCTATTCCCAAAAGGGTGAAGAGTTTGGAGAAGACAGGAGAAGTGAACAGTCTAGGACAACATAACTGATTTGGAAATATTCTGCAATTCAGTTCACATTCCAGTCAGATCAAGGCAGCTTCTCTTCTGTCTTTATACAAAAAGGTAGAAAAATACCTTGCCGATATGTTAATAATCAAGCAGAGATGAATCAGCCAGGTTTATCAAGCAAACCACTTTATCAGCAAATAGCTTTCTGGCTGCCACTGCAGGAGTTATATCAGTCCATGTGTTGTACCCTATGATGTGAACTCAAACACAGTTAGGAGAGGAAGACGAGCTTACATTGGCTGTAGCTGCTGCAGTGAATATTTATCAGTTTTGGCAGGACAGACCTAAATGAGATAACACATTGAACTTTCCCCATTACCTGAAATGTGACAGTGATACATACTCTTTTTCTTTGCAGGCGCTGTGGTGGCATCCTCGCTTTGGCCAGGCCTGACAACCTCGCAATTCTCTTTGCTTTCAGGGTTATGGTCACCTTTTGTCTCCTTTTTAGAAAGGGAGTTTTTGTTGGGGGGATTTAGAAGGTTTGGTTGGCACTGTAACACAACGAGTACAACAAAAAGCATTAGGAACATGTTAACCACTTTATATTAGGTTGACACTGGAGCATTGCCGTAGTTACCGGACCACATATAACAGTATAATCCAATTATAATACATAACTTAGGATGCTGTAGTCAGCAATTCCTACGCTCCTCCCAAGACCTCCTGCCCTCTAGCTCCCTTGTCAACTCCTCCCATGCTTGGCTCCAGGACTTCTAGTGTCTCCCCCATTCTGTGGAACTCTTGTCAACTTGTCAGTCTATCTCTTACTCTGACTACCTTTAGGAGATCCCTTAACCACTTGCCGTCCGCCCGTTGTAAAAAAACGGACGGACGGCACTGCAGCATTGGTGGGTTGCCGTCTCCAGACAGCATTTTTTTTCTGCTCGCACTATTGTACTGGAGCACATATACATTATACAGCCAGTGAAGTCTAAGATATGAACTCTAGTCCAACATGCTTGTTCCAGGTAAGTGGCTCACTAAATAGTGTAGTCATCATTAGGATGACAGCAAGGGAGGCCGAAACTTAAAAAAAAACAAAACAAGAGAGCAATGAAAGACCTCATATTTTTACTTACCGAACCCCTAAAAAAGTGCCACTCTCGAGGTTCACCTCTGCCCCGACTCCTCCCTCCCATTCCTGCCCTTACCTCGGTATAGACATTCAGTAACATGGAGGGGAGGAAGGATTAATAGACTACAAGTGCAGTGACATGACCGCACTTGTATTCCATTGACAAGTCACTTTGCCTTTGCAAGGTGCTTTTAAATGCATGCATGCGATAAAAATAAATAGGCAAACACTAGACCCAGGGCGCCCAAATTTCATCAAATTTAGCAGGGCAGTTACGACCCATGTAGGCAAGTTTACACAACGTAAGAGCCTTATTTAGGTCAGCCTTCCACATAGCAATTGTTGGGGCAAAACTTAATTCCCATCTCAATAGTATAGCTCGCCTAGCATTATATAGAGCATAAGATACAACTTTTTTGATGCGAAGCAGCATGAAGTAAATCCGTCAATCCCAAGGGTGTAAGTCTCGGGTCCATTGACAACGACAAGCCACTAATCACATTCAGCTAGCTATCACATCAGTCCAAAATATTTGTATCGGAGGGCAAGCCTACACCACAGGAATAAAGAACCCCATCTACCAGTGCTTTAGTATGGCCTAGAGATACACACCACATGGTTGGCAGTTTCACTCGGTGTTGGCCAGTTAGTGATGTCACTGAAGTCACTAGCCTAGAGAAAAATAAAACAAAGACAAAAAACATCAGAGTTCACTTTAATTAAACTACCGTTCACTACTGTAATAACTGTATGCATATAAAGCATTATATATTATGTTGGCGCATAAAAACCATCAAGTAGACTTGGAGAATTCTTGGTCTGAAGCATTACAGTTCACTGAAGACAACCCAAACAAGAGAAATGGAGTATAAACTTGAATTTAAACCTTGCTATCCTAAATGCATTCAATTTTAGGGTGCTCTTCTATGATTTATAGATCATGTTGCTCTTGTTTAGTAGCATCCTTGCATCAAGTATGTCTGAAGATGCAGTGGATCCCAAGTTCTCAAGCTCAACTATTTTCTGAGAACCAGGAGACATATTTCTGAAAGTAATTAACCGGAAATGCAATTGCTACAATCTTGTCCCTAACGTCCTTTGACAGCTCTTTGGTCCTGCCCATGGTGGTGGTTTGAATGGAAGAAAGATTCTGTGGACAGGTGTCTTTTATATACATAACGATTTGTCGTTAGGAGCACTTTCTTAAAATTGACAAGACTAATTTGTGTACCACATAAACAGTCTGCGGGAGCCAGAATTATTGTTGGTTGGTAGGGGATCAAATACTTATTTTACTCACTGAACTGCAACTCAATTTATAACATTTGTATCGTGTTTTTTTTCTGGATTTTTGGTTAATATTCTGTCTTTATCATTTCAAATACACCTATGATAAAAACTTTTCATTTCTATGTCAGTGGGGAAACTTACAAAATCTGCAAGGGATCAAACTATACATGTTTATATTTTTTTCCATTCAAACTGCAGGCTTAAACAAAACACACAAGAATGAATAAGTATACACAACAGAAATTGCCGTACCTTTTTAGACACAGGTTTTGCAGCTCTTACAATCTTTGCAGTGCATGGCGAGTCTAAAATGAACAGACATTTATTTGTGAGAGAACAGTATACCTATTCAGACATGAATTATAGTTTTAGTACATGTATATGAACAGCGCATTGTACACTTACACAGCCATTGGCCTACTTTAGTTGTTCATTTTCACTAAGAATACTGAAAGTGACATTAAAAGGCTATATGTTTGTTTCCCCCCCCCCCATGCTGCTGTAAGGACTTACCTTATGTGATCCGAACACCTTCTTTCTTCCACTCGTTTCCAACAGTCCCTCCAGCGCTGGTGCCAATCTCTGATGCAGAGCAGACATCTGTTTTTCTGTGTCCCACGGAGTCTGTCCGGCGTGTACGCTCCCGGCTGCGTCCATTCACTTTCATTGTCTCTTACCTCCTCTCCCCTCTGGTGTTATCCAATGCGCAATGCGCCTGCACACTTCCTCCTTCACAACCGTTCAGGAGCTGGGAGTTCTTCAGCTGGGAGCCGACGGTGCTGGAACAGGTAAGTAATTATGGATTTGCCTTTTTTAAATCATGGGGCATATATCTACCGCTTGCTAGCAATAGATATATGCCAAAAAAAAAGGAGAGGCACTTTAAACTCCCATTTGATGATCATATCTCCCATTTAAATCGATATTTTATACTTACAAGACACCTCACCAACCTACAAACATTAACTATAGGGCTACATGCACACGGCCCATGTCTTTTTCTGGTAGAATTATCTAATGAACAGTAAAAGGTTTGTGTTTAGATGTTTTAATATGTAAAATTCTCACGCCATTCCTCCTGCTCGGTTTTTAAAGTAAGTTTCAAGTTTGGACATCACTTATGTGAGTATGCACGTCAGCGTAGCGCTCCCCCTAAGGGTTTGGCACTGATTTTGGTGGACTGGGGTTCCTAGAGATTTTGCATACTTTGCCATGACTGGAAAAAGTATGTTCTGGCTGTCAAGAGGCCCGCTGGGGCATATAGCCCTGTATGGACAAGCCTGAGCATAGGGGGGGGGAG